CACTCCGCTCGGCCGGTGAGTGGCCGGTCTGTATGTGGGATCCGAACCCTCGGTGGGAGCGCCGCCGCACTCCCAAGCGGTACACTGTAGCAGTGCGCCACTGGGCCGGCCCCAAAATATTATTTCAATAAGTATTTAGTATTAAAAATTTTGTTCATATGGGCCGACCCTATGGCTCACTCGGGAGAGTGCAGCGCTGGGAGCGCCAAGGCCGCAGGTTCGGATCCTGTATAGGAATGGCCGGTGCGCTCACTGGCTGAGTGCGGTGTGGACGACACCACGCCAAGGGTTACAATCCCCTTACCGGTCACAAAACAAAACAAAATTAAAAAAAAAAAAAAATTTTGTTCATAAATAACAACATAACACCTACCTTGCTGGTTTCTCTCTGAGAGAATCAGAGGTAATGTATCTAAAGTATCCAGCACTGTACATAGCACATAGTAGCATAGTAAAAACTCAGCAAATGGTAGCTATGGTTTTAAATGCTAAACAAACTTGTGCAGTATCAGTGTCTTTTTCTTTCTTAGAGGACTTCTAGAGAGATTTACTGTTTCCTCCAAAGCTATTCAACAGATACTAGAGTCACAATCCAGTAAATTTAATTCAAGAGAAAAACTGTGAACACAGAATGCTGAATTCCACAGGATTCCAAGACAAATCTAACTTACTACTCTATCACAGTTAGCTTTATCATTACCTATAAATGGCATGAAATTAAAAAATATATAAATATGTGAAACAACCTTTATTATAAAAATAAAATTTATTTAAATTATATATATACACATACATACAGAGCACACAACACACATATTACATTCAAATTCTGCTTCTCAACTAGAAAGTTATATATACAGTATAAACAGCGCTAAGAATTCCTAAAAAGCCCCCACTGTTTTTCTGTGATCCTAAGTCTCAACTTGTTTCCTTCCCATAATTAGGCTGGGTCTTATAATCCATATGCCCATTTATTATAGCATTTATTTACTCCTAAAAAGCTATTAATAAATCAATAGTATATCTAAAAATTATTATTTTCTTAGACTTAAGAACATACAATACTTGAAATGAGTAAAAGGCTTTTATCTATTTTTTTTACCTTATCAGCAACACTTTATTCCATATATAAAATTTTCCCAGTCTTTCCTACATTCCTAGTGATTCTGAAATGGAAAACATGTCATGTTATTGAACATGATCCTCTTTTCTATTTTTCTGTTGAGAAGGCGCAAACACAGATAATGCCTTTTCTAAAATTTGCCTTGCAGCAGTATGTTCTGAATTTAGCCCAGCCTCTCAGGTCGCACAGTCTATGTAGCTAAGATACACACAGGTGAAAAGTAAAAGATAAAATCAATTATTGTCTTCCTACTGCATAACAACTTTAAATAATTTTGTTAGGTGTTGAGTTAAATAATGTTCTTGAAATCATAAAGACCCCCAATTTGTCTTTCCTTTAATAATGTATATGAAAAATTTTCTCATATAATAGTAACAGAGGTCTAAGAAACGGATGGCTGACAACAATGATGATGTGCATAGAAATGCAGTGAACATTTCTTTCAAATAAATATATGCTCATGTTCTGTACTTAAAGAATTGAATTGAATGGTAATTATCTCAGTAGTCAGTAACGCACTCCATAAGTACCACAAGGACAAGATCACATCTGTCTTACTACTACATTCCCAGCACCTATAACGCTGCTTGGTACAGAATAGGTGTTTAATATTTAATATATAGTATTAAACACACAGATGAATAGATGGTATTAAAAAACAGTGTATTCAACTCCAAGCTGGCTCAAAGGGTAGCACTGTCCATTTCAGCACTGGGAACAATTTAAGTATAGAATACCAAAGTAAAATGAAAGAACAATATACAAATTCTTGTATGAATGATAATTTTGCATATATATCAAAAGATTATTATCATTTAATAAAAATGAAACACACTGTTAAATAATTCTGAAATTATCATTTCCATTTTGGAGTTAAGAATAAGCCCTGAGACAGAAATATTGGTCCTTACACAGCAGCTGCCCAATGTTCCTTTCTCAGTTGAGGGGCTTTATATAGAACAATAGGTATACAAAAGCTTTTGAGCCATTACAGTATTCCCGCTGCTCTGATAAATGAGAGACAAGTTGTAGGCAATATCTCTTCGCAAGTCTAACTGGTCAACTTCTATACCCTGGGGAGGAAAAATACATGTTTTTATATTTCAAACTGCCACCTAGGACAATTTTATGGCACATAAATCGTTTTATAAGTGTAAGTTTTCAAAAACTGTTAAAATTCATGTAATATTTTTAAAAATTATAGAACTATGCATATACCTTAGAATTAATCATTATAGAAACAGTATAGTTAAATATTTTAAAATGTCTAAGCAATAAGTTAAAGAAAAAGTCTCACCAACAAGCCTCATCAGAATAAACTCCAGATCAATTACGGATTTAAGAGTAAAAAAATAAAACCATAAAAGAAAAGAAATGGAGTTTAATAATGTAATAATAAAATATTGGGTAGGAAAAACCCTTCTAAATACGACAGCAAAGTAGAAACTATAAAGGGAAAGACTGATATGAGTTCATTAAAAAAATTTCTGTGTGTAAAAAATAGTAATAAATGAACACAAATGAGCAGATGGGGAAAAAAATACCTATGCTATATCACAAAAAGATATATAAACGGGAGGCAGGCATATACCAAATTCATTATAATGATTACCTCAGAGTGTTACCTTTTTTCCTACTTAAACAACAAAGCAGTGAACTCAATGGAATTGATTAGATCTATGTTTCTCATCTTCTCCAATACAAAATTTTGTAGTCAACTAAAAAAACATCTACAACAATTAAAAATCATACCCATAAGTGTCAAGTAACAATATGTAAAGATCTTTATGAAATAAAGCAAAAATTAGTTTTTTTAAAGTAACGTAAAGGAAAATTAATTATAGTCCTGTAGTATGAAGAAATAGAAATGGAAAAAATTAAAACAATTTCAGAAATTAAGCTATTTACAATAAAACCTACATTTTAGAAAACTTTATGAAAAACATTTAACATACACAAAAGTAGAGATTAGTACAATGAATTCCCATATATTCATCACCTCTTGTTTCATCTTTATCCCCACCCATTTGAAATATGCTATTTAACTATAAAAATGATTTGAAATTTAGCTTTCGAATTACTTTGAAGTACGTGATTTTTTGCCATACCAGGCCAAAAAACTATATATTTTAACTATTTAATGAGTTAATCAATAAAAACTTATCATCATTGTTACCAGAATATAAGTTTCATAGGGTTAAGAAATTCTGCCTGAGTACTCACTCACTGCTACATCCCCAGTTCCAGGCATAGCACATGCTCATTACATTAATTTATAAAAAATCCTACATTACTCAATAGACAAAAAGTATCCATTAAGAAAGAAAAATAAGCCTGGAGGAAGAGGTGGATAGAATACTATAATTAAACATGCAAGAAAAAGAAAAATTTAGGAGTGTCTCTTTTTTGGGTTTACTTTATTTTACTTTCTATTATGGAAATTTTCAAATATATAAAAGTAAATACTTTAATGAACCATAACACCTAGTTTCAACAATTATCATTTTAATTTAGGTGCTTTTCTAGCCATTTATTTTAAAAAAAACAACAAAACCCCTCTACTAGATCCTGCTACTCCAATCAAGCCAACATTTTTTCTCTCCCAACCTACTTAAAAAACATGTCCATTATGTTATTATACCACATCATATCTTGGAAACATAAAAAATGAAATCATAGAAACAAAAGTATAGAAGATACAGTAATGAACAAGACAGACAAGATCTCTGATCCCTTGGAATTTATTAGAAGAAACAAACTAGGGCCGGCCCAGTGGCACACTGGATAGTGCGCCGCTTGGGAAGCGCAGCGGCGCTCCCACCCGAGGGTTCGGATCCCACATACAGACCAGTTCCCGCTCACTGGCTGAGCGAGGCGCGGGGGCAACACCGAGGGTTGTGATCCCGTTGCCGGTCCCCAGTCCGGTACGGGGGCAACACTGAGGGTTGCGATCCGTTGCCGGACACGGAAAAAGACAAAAAGACAAAAAAAAAAAAAAAAAAAAAAAAAAAAAACTATAAAAAAGAAAAGAAAAAAAAAAAAAAATTTTGAATTGCTTTAAGAACTA